ATACTAACAATTTTCCTTTAGAAGTTGATATTAGAAACATGAAAATTCAATATCAACATTGTAGTATGCTTTATTTTCTAGAAGAACAAACTGCTAGAGATTTAAATCAATTTATTTCTTGCTGTTATAAGGATATCGTTGTATTACCACCATTTACACCATTTCTAGAAGAATTAAAATCACTATTTCTTAATGAGTACACACTATTCTGAACTTTTGATTAAAATATTCATAATTATAACAATGCTGTAGTATTTGCTTCTGTTGTATCAAATATATAATCAATATCTGGACATGGACCATATATATATAAAATATTAGTACAAATATATTACTTTCTTAGACTAGCACAACTAAATGCAGATAATACTTCAACTTTCAGGCAACTTTATTTTTTAGATATGGCAATGCTCAAGAATACCGAAATAACAATCCTGCAAATACAAAACTTGATTCTAAATTACTTTCATTTTTAGATTCGATATTTTGACAAATAAATCTGTATATATAAGCATTTAAAATGATGAAGATATATACCAAGAAGAAAATGATACTGCAATACAACAAGAATGCTCTCTAATAGAAATATAAATGATTTTTGATAATAACCTTCATTTTGACCAAGACCGTTATAATATACTACAAGTTAATAAAGTTGCTGCAATACTACTTGGTCCTGAAAGTGAAAACTTTTTTTCTCATTGTCTTGCAATACATCTATACAATAATTGGCTTATAATGATTTAGTAACTAGCAAAAATTATGATCCAATGTCATACTCACTATTATTTCCAAAAGAGATGCAAGCTGGAATTCCTATATGTTAAATTGTAAGCAAATCAAACAAGACCAACAAACATATCTATGTTACAATTTTATTGTTATAGAATAGCACAAAGAAATACTTTTAATTCTATTCTATATACTAAAACTCTTTTCTAGCAGTACTTAGTTGATATATATGTAAAGGTTGAGAAAACACAGCTAAACTACCAGTAGCAAAATCAAACAATACTACAAGCTAAAACTTATCATGAATTATCTAATTATTTAGCAACTACTGCTAAAGAAAGAAAATTAGTATCAGTGTATACTATTGTATTATCATCAAGTTTTTTAGAAAGCCAAGATATGTTGAACATATAGTAAACCTAATATTTTCTTAACTATTACATATAACTTAGCTTGGAAAGAAATTTCTTAATCGTTATATCCTGAACAAATTGCTCCAGACTGACCAGACATTGTTTGTAAAGTTTTTAAACTTAGACTAGAAATGTTACTAAATGATTTAATAAAAAATAAAATTTTTGAAAAAATAATTGCGTATATAAGAGTGGTTGAATTTCAAAAACATGGATTACTTTACTGCTATATGCTATTAATTCTCTCTGACAAAAATAAACTACAAAGTCCAGATGTTATTAATTAAATAGTATATTGTAAGATACTAGACCCTATTAAAAATCTACAATTGTATTAAATAATTGCAAAAACAATAGTTCATGGTCTATATGGATACATAAATCCTGAAGCACTATGTGTAAATGACAAAAACAGTGATGTATATACTAAAAACTATCCCAAAGAATTTTGTTTAGAAACAAAAGTAG